TCTCTTAGCTGCTTTAAGGGACTTTCTAGTATGTTACTTCTTCACATAGACACATGGCCATAGTCTGACAGACTCAAGTTATATTCCACATAAATCACCCTATCTCAGACTCAAGTCATATTCCACATAAATCACCCTATCTCCTTGAGTACCTCTTACCACAAATTAAAGGGAGCTATTTTACTTACATATTTAATTTTTTTTAATTGGTTTCTAGATGCATCAACTTTTTCCATTAGTAACTTTAGTAATTAGAGACCAAAAGTTGAAATCAACATACCAATCTTCTTCAACTAAATAAAACAGTATCACCTGCGCACCACTGGTACTACTCAGGACCTAGCAGAGACTACAGAAACCATTTAGATTCCCTACTCTATTTACCATAGAGGAATCTGAGGTCTAGAGAATCTGCTATAGGGTGGCTAAATAGTGACATCTTTAAAAATTAATTTAGTAGTCACTGAAAGTATTTTTAAGATACCTGATATATGTTTCCAGAATCATTTCCCATATCGTGGCTATTCTATCAAAACAAGTAAAATAAAAAATATGTCCTATAAAGGTAAAACATTGAATAAATCAGGTTATCCATTTCAAAACACAATTAAGTGTCTATAAGGTGTTAGGTACAGTGCAGGCAAGTTGTGCATAGGAGTCTTTAATCATTAGGATTACTGAGTGAACATCCACTTACCTATTTTTTCTCCCAAATACATCAAACCACCATACACTACACACAAAACAAAGGTACATCTCCAACTGATCCATACTTGGCAGTATTTATTGAGAATTTCAATATACCAGGCTTCATTATCATGTCATACATATTTATACAAAGTGTATAAAACTGGAGTAAGAGAAAATTTTACTGTTATTAAACAGACCTATTAGGGTCATTCTGTAAAAATAATAATACTCTCATAACTTCCCATCCTAGAATGCTGTAAAGAAACAAAACAGAAACATGAGACAGAGACCACTGACTTAAGAAATGGATGACTTTATTAAGAGAAAAGGACAAGACTGGTGTTTACCTTGGTCAAACCATCCAGGAAACAAAGCACACAGACTTATAGAACACTTTGGTTTAAAAATTATTCATAATATCAGTGTTAAACCTGATGTTTAAAGAACCCAATGAGAAATATGGTGTAAAAAACAATCCGTGAAAACACAAGCTTGCATAGATGAATTAATGTAGATGTACAATTGGCATTTAAAAAAGGAGGTTTGCGTTTTGGGAGTGACTTAACCACGCTGAACACCTCAACCTCCCAAGATGCATGAAAGTCACCAGCACCGTGTTTCTCACTTTCCTCAATGAGGTCATGAGCAGGAACAACTTGTGCTGTATGGAGGTGAACTGAAAAGAGACTGCTTCCATTGGCCTAGTCCAGCTGGGTGTGTATCTTCCCATTAGAACCCACCACTGGTCACCTTTAAGGCATCCACAAAGTGTCCCTCACAGTTTCACTTAATCTCTAGATGTGGTTTGAGGCAGCCTCCTTGTTTTCTGTCCTCACACAGTCAACTATATTCCATCAAGGTTCTGTTTAATTCCATGAAATAGCTATCTCAAAGCTGCCCATTCTTCTGGGGCTTGGTTATAAATCCATGAGCACTTGGGATAACAATCCTTTTGTTTTATAACTATATCTACATTCCAAATATCAAAGGGGCACTTACTAAAGAATCTGAAAGTGCCCGGGCAATGTGTAGTCTCTCTCTCAAAAGACCATTTTTCCAAATTATGAGACAAACGATAGCATCACCTCAGATTTCCTGAGCAACTTCATTTATATGAGAAGTCTTATACTTTTGAATTCAGCACCTTTTCAAAATATGTGCTGGAATGGATTCATCTTAGGGAAAACTCCATTACAGAGAATTCTCATTTTGGACCATCATTTTTACATGCTATCTCCCCAGCGTATCCTCTCGTTATTTGTAACAATTTATAAAATAAATATTGGGTTGCCTGTAAGAGGAAAGTAAAAAATATAGCTCTTTCTGAAAAAGAGCATTTGGCTTGCAGTGTACATACAGCAAGAGCTGAAATTAGAAACCACAGGGATTTCCAAGGCCAATTCAACCAAAAGTATAAAAATTCTGATGTCAAAAATCTTCTCATCAAATTTAACGGCTAGAAATTATTTTAGCAACTACAGCCTGATATCCAGTGTAACAAAAATGTATCCCAATTATACCATATGTCATAGTACAGTCTCTTAGCTGTCTTCCCTTACATGTTCCTACTCCTTGATCTTTCATGAAGAAAATGTCACTCAAACCCATCTTTCACTTTTTCTATCATTTGTATATGAACCTCACCAATGAATAAACGGGGCATTAAGTTACACAACTAATTCTGCCCTTATCTGAAATACTGGAACCTGCACAGTGCTGGTTCCCTATGCTATGAAGTTAATCGAAAAGGAAAAAAAAAACAAAAACATTTTCTAGTTTGCTAAGAATGTACAAATGCATCTTAAATCTATTAAAATGTTACTAGGCAGTGTTTTATATATATATATATATATATATATATATATATATATATATATATATTATACATACATATATGAAAGAGAATGGCTTTTAGGGCCATATAGTTCTTCAACTCAACCTGATTACTTACAAGATTGTGTTAGCTTGTGGCATCAAACAGAACCACCCTTCTGTTGTGTTTCTTACCATAGCAAAAGTTTTCCTGCTTCTCTCTTAAAAGTAAAATAAAAACACTCTTCACATTAGCAAATCTCCCATTTCAAGCAAATGTGTTTTGTTTGGTTTTCTCCTTTTTTTCTGTTAATGGTTAAACATTTCAATACCCAAGGGTGTTGGTGAAATTCTTACAAATAATCTAAATGTCCTCCCTGCACAACAGAACCTTTGTAAATATCTTCTATATAGTCACCACAGAAGAGAGTCAACTCTCAATTACTCAAGAAGTGGTCAACTGGTATAAAGGATTTGACCAGGAAATTCTCACACTTTTTCTACCAGTCTTTTTGGTCATGCTACTGCTTATTCAGAGGTTGACAAACAACATAAAATAAAACTATGTATTTACTGTGTTACAGGTCAGCCACGAGTCAGTAGCAGAGAAGGGCCAAAGCTTCTGATGACAAGGATGCTTGGGGATCATCTGTGAATGTTACATCTCAGCGGAAATTTAACAGTCAGTCACGTAAAGGAAATAACATACACTGACATCAGAGTCAAACTAATTTAAGGCAGTACTGCTCCTCACAAACACTGCTGGCACAAAGTGCAGGTCTCTTTGTAAAAGTGACTCTGTAGTACTGAGATTTTTCTCAGTTTACCTTTTCTTTCTTGACTTCTCTAGAATTAAGTTTCAGCGTTTTTAATGACAGTTGTTAAACACCAGGACCAACAATAGCCTCTGTCTCTTTTCTTTAATACTCTTACCTCTCACCATGGATAAAAGAGATTCTTCCACCAAGAATTTGAATGACATTGTGCCCCATGCAGCAATAACAGGACAGTCTCCAGTTTCCTTCTACCTGCCCATATACCTATCATGGGCTAAGAAGAAAAAAGTATTCTATCAACAGAAAGATAAGCAGATATGGCTTCAAGACTCACAGGCACCACCAGAAATGAGAAAATGGGACCATAGTCACTTCTCTATAAGCAGTAAGTAACAGACAAAGTAATTTAAAAATCGTTTTTCCTTTCTGCTGAAAGATGAGGTTTTGATTTTGTTATGATTGTTTCTAAGAAAAACTTCTTTTAGCAGAATATGACACTCTATGTACAATGTAATCTACCTTAATACTCTCTACACAAATACTGCCTTCCCAAAAGGGGAAAAAGCCTTTGGCTGCAAGTTCTATTCTAGTCTCAGTTCTTCAGAAAGCTGTTTACACAGAGATCTCACTCCTTATCATCATAGTTATCTTTCAAGAAAATAATCACTAAATAAAAAATCATCTTGGTATTCCCCAAAGTGATTTTTATACAAAGGCAAGACATTAAAAATCCATGACTTAGCCAGGCACAGTGGCTCACCCCTGTAATTCTAGCATTTTAGGAGGCCAAGGCGGGTGGATTACAAGGTCAAAAAATCAAGGCCATCCTAGCTAACAAGGTGAAACCTCGTTTCTACTAAAAGTACAAAAAAAAAAAAAATTAGCTGGGCTTGGTAGCATGCACCTTTAGTCCCAGCTACTCGGGAAGCTGAGGCAGGAGAATAGGTTGAACCCGGGAGGCAGAGGGTGCAGTGAGGCCAGATGGCGCCACTGCACTCCAGCCTGCAACAGAGTGAGACTCCATTTCAAAAAAACAAACAAACAAAAATCCAGGACTTAAAATGTTAACCACTTATGTGGTAAACTGAATGCACCATATTATAGTAGGTATTTCAAATTTGGCACAACACAAAATTTAGACAAGATTTGACAGTATTAAAGAAAATAATCAGTTAAAAGCTAATTATTTTTATATTGAAAAGTTTTGACTTTGAGGGAAAGAGATGAGCAACAATCAGCAATGAATTTACTCATCATCTAATTGAGCTTCAGGCCACATTAGAGGAGAAAAGGGGGGGTAATGAATTGGATCCAGAATTTTCTAGAGTGAGTTCAGTAAACATAAAGCCCAAGGTCACACATTTTTCAGTATGCTGACCTAGATCCAAGTGGTCACTGCCATTCTACAGAGGTTTTCCTCCTAGGAGAATCTATTCATATCTTTCTTTTCTAACTTAGCTATTTCTCTATCATTGAAAACACCTAGGGTTATTTTTCATTTTCTGTTTTTGTAATTTATTGGTATGCTCCTGTTGGTTGTAAAGTAACTTGAGAAATAGTTATAGTATGCAAAGCCACTTTCCGAAAATCACAATGTTCCTTTAAATACATGTAAAGAACTGTCCAGTTCCAAAATAAAATACTTAGGTCTAATAAAATACTTATGTCTAACAGTGGTTTGAATGCAAGAGTCAAATATTTTTCAAGTCAAAACATATAATCTGACTCTTACCTAACTTCACTTCCAAACGATGATTTATAAAAGGTAGAGGAGAGTGGGTGTCTATGTCAAGCAGCCTTATTATGATAAGGCTCCATAACATATTTTGTTTATTCAACAATACTGGTGTCAACGAGGCCTGGCCACCAAAGAACAAAGATACAGAAACAGAAACATTTTCCAAGGCCAGAATTATTAGCTTACATCACAACATTAAATCATTACTACATTATGGGCCTAAAAGTCAAGCTGCATGTGTTCGTTCCAGCAGCAACAACAACAACAAAAAATGCTTCCACATTTATATAAAAATGACAAAGTAAAAAGCAGAGAACACAGTGAAGAGTGTCTGGCAGTTCATTAAAATACAGTTGAGTTGCTTCTATAGTTTCAAACATTATTACATTACTTGCATGAGAAAGAATAAGAGGATTTAACCGGCTGAATTTCATTTCTATCTCCTTATTCATAGGGTAATATTTACTCTGATATTCTTTAAAAAGTGTTTGCTTTACACAAAAATAAAATAAACATAAAATATTTTAAAATTGTAATCTTTTAGAAACCTTGAAAAAATGTAACAAATTTTCAATAAACATGTTGAATTAGCTATCACAAGGGCAATACCACCTTTGGTCACTTACTAAGACAGCTAAAACACTAACATTCTGGTTAAGTGTTAAATGGTGACTTTTTTTTTTTTAATTAAGTATCTCCAGTTAACATTTGACAATAATAAATATGACTGGATGAAGTATGTGAGAGGCAAGAGAAACACTAAATTTTTAAAATAAAACTGATCATAGTAAGAGATAGAAAAATAAATATTTATGAAATTAAAAACGGCAAATGATTTTGCCTAGTTATCAAATAAAAATACGCTGTTTTTTCCTTTAAAATTACCATAAAAAACTTTGAAGGACATGAAGCAAAATCACAGGGCAGATAAAGAAAAATATAGCATTACTATAAGTAAATAAGGCCTAAGCTTTGGATGTTGAAACCACTATCCAGAATTTGACTTAAGGCCAGGACCTACCATTTTGTCTCCCCTTCTGTATTTACATGGAGGTTTTTCTTTAGGCATTTTATCATAGCTATAAGAAGTCCTGTTATTTTCCTTTCCCTCCATTTCTCCAAAATGACATCACTTAGGGATGCAGACTATCTCTCCGATTAACATTTACCGAAAACGTAACTCAGGCGATTTTATTTAAATTCCTACAATACATAAACTTTATTAAATTAAAAATCTTTCTCAAAATGAGATACCCAAATCCACTCTGAGAAACTATTTTAAACAGCTTCCTGAATATTGCCCAACTTTAAAAACTACCTGAAAAGGTAAGGCATAGAGAAGGCAGTTCCCAGTGGGAAAAAAAATAACATTTTCTCTAGTGATCTATGTATTTCCTTCCTAAACAAAGGCCCTATTGAAATGCCAAGAATTTCAGATTTATATAATAAAAGACAATAGCAAGTCAAGCTGAAGGGATATATATATATATATATATATGGAGTGGGGAGAAAGAGAGAGGGAGAACAAGTGAGCTTGATTGCCATTTGTTATTTAAGTAGTACAGGAAAATAAATATTGCAGTAAGGTTAGCAGCTACACAAAAACGAAATTTCTTGAAGAGGGGCTTAAAGATCTTGTAATAATAATGATTATACAAAGGAATACAATCCCTTGCACAAAGAAATACAAATGGTTAAAACCAGTACTTGGCTGGCTGAACACGGTGGCTTACACCTGTAATCCCAGCACTTTGGGAGGCTGAGGCGAGTAGATCATTTGAGGTCAGGAGTTGCAGGCAAGCCTGGCCAACATGGTGAAACCCCATGTCTACTAAAAATACAAAAATTAGCCGGGCGTGGTGGCACATGCCTGTAATTCCAGCTACTCCACAGGCTGAGGCAGGGGAATTGCTCCAGCCCAGGAGGCATAGGTTGCAGTGAGCAGAGATTGCACCACTGCACTCCAGCCTGGGTGACAGGGCGAAATTCCATCTTAAAAAAAAAAAACCCACCAAATACTTGAATAAATAACCACTTTATCAAATTCAACTTCATGTTGATTTGATCTAATTATTGGCAAATAAACAAAACATTATTGAGAGGTTGTCAACAAATACTGCAATGACTTTAAGCAAGAGAAAAACCTTAGTCTACAGCCAGAGAGATGGATGGCATCATTACTTATGAAATCATTTTTCAATTCCATTTCCTTGGCTCTATAAGTAAATGAAAAACAAAAGAAGAGATACAAAGTCATTCATGTATCTAAGTTAAAATTTCAGTGAACTAAATTTTTTCAATAAATATTAATAAATGGTCCAGTGCCGGCGGGGAGGTGTAGGGGGCTTCAGAAAGCCTTGCTACTGAGGCAAAAGCAGAGTGTTAAAGAATGCTATTTAGGACAATTTCCCCAGGAGGGCTGAGACGGCTATGCAAAACCTCTACAGTCCGTCTGGTCAGAATAACATACTTCAATTGCTCCAAGTATTTCTTTTTTTAAAATACTTTATGGTTGTGATTTTCTTTTCCTAAAGAGTACAAAAAGCAAAAGCTTTGTCCTTCAAAATATCATACACTAACGCAACAAAAAGCTATTTCTTATATTCTTTTATTCTGCGTTGCACCCAAACATTGTTTTTACTTTGATCATTAATCTCCATAAAATTTGAATTGCTAAATAAGGCCTACTCCCTAGATACCAAACTTCTATACCTAACAAAATGGCAGCTTACAGAGATCTAGATACTATATCCCAGGAAGTATATGCAGCATAGAGGTGGCTAATATTCAGAAGCTACATTTTCTCATACTGCCCAAGTGATCATGGATAACCAAAACATTTGAAATGAATTAAAATTATTTATGGTCAAAAATATATGCTTGAGGATAAATCCCAGGAATGCAAACACAGATGAAAAAAATATGTGTAGAATTCATTCTGTATCACCCAGTAATATTTGCTAAAGTGAGTCCATTTTCAAGGCAGATTTTTAATGCTTGTAATGAAAACCTGGGGAGGGGAAGAAAAAAGGAAACACAATTAAGGAAAAACTTTTGAAACTCAGACAGCTTTTCTCCTGCCCCAGCAAAATAACTTTATTTCATACATTTCTAGTAGTACCTGTTTCTTAGTTCTGACATATACACAGAATCAATGTGTTATTTTAATATTATGCATCAAATGTACGTCAAGGACAGTACAAAGGTACCCCCAAAAGGTGATACACACATAGTTTGAGAAAGAAAAATACGAGCTACTTTGTTAAATCAGGAACAGTGAAAATGTCACTAACTGATGAAAACTGAGGTGGGATGTTTTGATGAAGATGTTTATAGTGTCCAACTATCCTTCTTTTTAAAATAATGCCTGTTGTCTTTTTCTCAGTATTGAATCATAGTCAGAATGGGGGGAGGGAAGCTTTCTTAGAAATGCAAATGCTTGACACCCTCCATCCAGAGATGCTGATTTAAGTAGTCTAGAGTGTCATCTGTGCAATGGTATTTTTAAATGAAAGCAGAAAATGTAATTTAAAGAAATTTCAGGACATTGTTATTAGACTTGGAAATGAATAACAATACCAGCTACGTCTTCAAAACTCATAACAAAATAAACAGAATCAGTAAGATCTAATATAGTTGCAAAGTCTACTGCACTCTGCAAACTTCTTTTACATATTTAACCTTTAATGATTCTGACAACTCTGACACTTTCTATTTAGACTGGCTCCATTTTGCAGATAAGGAAATTAACATAAGCTACCTTTTCACCATTTCATTTTACAAGTCATAAAATTGTACATAAGTGAATACAAATCCTTTCAAGAGCAAATACAACCCAACTGTTCCTTCTGTCTGAGGCATTTGAACCAGAGCAACTCCATCTTGAATAGGGTCTGGATAAAATAGGGCTGAGACCTACTGGACTGCATTCCAGGAGGTTAGGCATTCTCAGTCACGGGATGAGATGGCACAAGACACAAGTCAAAAAGACCTTGCTGATAAAATACGCTGTGGTAAAGAAGCTGGCCAAAACCAAGATGGTGACAAAATTGAACTCTGGTTGTCCTCACTGCTCATGATATGCTAACTATAATGCATCAGCAGCATGCTAAAAGGCACTCCCAACAGGGCCATGACAGGTTACTGATGCCATGGGAACATCCAGAAGTTACCCTACATGGTCTAAAACGGGGAGGAGGAACCCTCAGTTTCAGGATTTGCCCACCCCTTTCCCAGAAAACTCATGAATAATATACCCCTTGTCAGCATATAATCAGATACCATAAAAATGGGTAACCAGTAGCCCACACTGCTGCTCTGCCTATGGAGCAACCATTCTTTCTTCCGCTACTTTCTTACTAAACTTGCTTTCACTTTAGGGATTCCCCTATAATTTTTTCTCACAGGAGATCCAAGAAGCTTCTCTTAGAGTCTGGATTGGGACCCCTTTCTGGTAACACATTTTAAAGGTTTCGTCCAATTTAGATATCTATATTTTTTCTTTATTTGCTTTGTCCCATTTTTCTTTTGCAAAAAAGTTATGTAGGAGGTATGCATGCATATTTTAAATCTAATTGAGTCACACACAGATAGGAAACAAGAGCCACTATAGAAAATGCAGTTCTACAGATCTAAATGGAGGTCACAATCACCCTTTAAGAATCCGATCAAAGAGCCAGACACAGTGGCTCACGCCTGTAATCCCAGCACAGTTTGGAAAGCTGAGATGGAAGGATTACTTGAGTTCAGAAGTTCGAGACCATCCTGGGATGACATGGTAAAACACCATCTCTACAAAAAATATGGAAATTAGCCAAGCATGGTGGCACACGCCTGTAATCTCAGCTACTTGGGAGGCTGAGATGAAAGGATCACCTGAACCCGGGAGGCGGAGGCTGCAGTAAGCCGAGATCATGCCACTGTACTTTAGCCTGGGAGACAGAGTGAGACTCTGTCTCCAAAAATATATAATATATAGGATATATATGTCATGTAATATAAATATAATATATATAATATTTATTATATATTATAAATTATATATAATTATATATAAATTATATATATAAATTATAAATATATATTATAAATAGAATATATATTTATATTATATGACATATAATATATCCTATATATATGATATATAATATATATATGATATATATGTATGTATGTATGAATCTGATGAAAGCTTTGCGCTCTTTGTAGAGGAGCATGTAAATACACAGAGTAACTTAGATTCAACTTACGGTGCTCTGTTTTCTGTCTTTTTTGTTACTGTTTCAATAAATGAGGAGTGCTATAACAATCTGCTGAGGGGAGAATAACTTATTTTTCCACTCTAGTGATCAGAACACAGAATTTGATATTTCCACTATAACATGAGGCTTATAATATATTTTTTAAAAAGATCCTAAACTTGACCATACATACTCTCCTTACCTTTATGAGAGGACTCTGATTTTGGAAAATGCCGTGTGGAACTCTGCTGGTTTGTGAAATGATTGTAATCCAAATCTTCACCATCTGTCATGATAGGTGGTGGTGGCCTAAAAGGAAGCCAGAATTTAAAGAGGCATTCTAAGTAATGCTTACTACAACTCCACCTTTCACTGGACTGCAAGGTAAAAATATTTTCTGATGAAATGAAAATCCCAAAATGTTTCAGAATTCACACTGTAGTTCTTGGAAAGTTGCATGACCTTGAATAAATTATCTTACTGTTCCTTTGTTTTGATGCACATAATTCAATTAAAACAAGTATCTCCTTAACAACTAATGCATTTTAGAAACTGTGCTAGATAAACAAAGATTAGTGAGATGTGACTGCTGCCATTTATAAGAAATACTCTTTTTCTTTACCAAGTAAAAGAAAAAAGAAGAGAATAAAGAACAGAAAAGAAGTAATAAAGTCAAGGAAAAAAGGAAACGAAAAAAGAAGAAGGTAGGAGATAGACAAGGAGGGAGGATATGGAAGCAAATTTCATGAGTAAAGTTCCTTTATCCACTAGGTGGCAAAACAGATCTTAATACATTTGCAACTTCTATGCAATACATTTGCAACATTTTATGGCAAAAAAAAAAAAATGTTAAAAAAAAAAAGATAAAATTTTTACTAAACTTTTTATTAACTACTCAGTATTGATTTATGCAAACATGTGGCATTGAAAGCAGAAAACCTCTTATTGTTTTTCTTACTTCCCAAAAGTGTACTTAAAGTTTGTACTAAAGCATAGCATGAGATTAAGATAGGCCATTTTACACAATTATATGTAAAATCTAGAAGGCATAAGTATTCTGAGGTTTGTAAAGTTATAGTCGGTTTGGTACAATGGGCTCTGTCATGTAAAAATAAGAGCAAGTATTTTCAGATTTTTTTATCTTGTCCCTAAGCAGTAAGTCTTTCCCTGGGTATTCAGTAGCCAGAAGGGGTCAGCATGGGATGTAAACTGGTATATGTACTGAGGACTGTGCTAGAGGTTCTACACAGATTATCTCAATTAACTTTCAGGACAAGTCTGTATGCCATCATATACATATTTCAGACTCAGATTAGGTTAGATTAGGTAAATGATCTGTCCATGTTCACACAGCTGTTAAGTGGCAGACCCAGGCCTCAAACTCAACTGGATTTCAAAACCAGTGTTCATAACTACTCTACTATGCTCTACTACATAGGTGTGTATTTTTATCAGGAGCATCATCATCTGCATACAAGACTATATGTATATAAGTATGTGTGCATTTGCATCTTAGATTTCCATAAGTACACTTTCATATGTATCTGTACTTATACTTTCAAATATCATTTCATGCATTTGTTATATGCATAAGTAATGTGAACATAGTGAATAATGTAGTATCTTTCTTTTTTTAAAATCGTTTACAAATATTGGAAATTAAATGGTGTTTTTCTCCAATGCTGACATTTATAATTCTTATCTTTAAAAAATAATGTAAGACTTGGTAGAAAACCTGAGACAAAGCAATCTGACCTTTAGTATTAAAAAAATTAGCTTCAAAGAGCAAAAAAGTGTCTCAAGAAGTGACTCAGGACTAAAAATCAGGGTTGGTAATTAGAATGACCCAGTCTGCCCTTCACTCTTTTATTAATGTCATTAGGCAGTCAAAAAATCAGAAGACAGAAGTTGGACTCACAAAAACAATCTAGGATTATTGCCTCACCATCAACTCATATCACCAAGGAAAAGTATGCTAAAGTTACGAAACAAAGCACAGGATACCCACAAGTCTTCTAGCATGTCCATGTAATGATAAACAAATTGATCTAGAATGTCTTCCGTTCTCTTAAGTGTTCTCATAAGTTCTGTTCAATTTCATGTTATGCAGAGAACAAATCTTGGTTTACTGTTGTCAGGAGTCCTAACAAATTATTTTGTTACACCAGAGACAATTGTTTTAAACTTAAGGACATTTAAGTTCAGAATTAGAAAAATCTTATTAACCCACACTTTATTTTATAGTTTTATTGTATTAAGATTGCCTGTTTCCTACTGTTCTCATGAAATAATTTACATCTTTCACTTAAGAATGTAGCCAAACACTTTTTGGAATTCACTTCAAAATTCACTTCAAGAAAACTTCCTAGACACCTAAACCAGGATGTCTCCCTATGTTCTTATCATCTTGTACTTCTCATTCACAGCACTCAACACAATCAAAATAGTTACTTGGATAATTATTTGTTTAGATTATAAACTCCTGAGAACATGACAGAGTTATTCTTACTGACTGACGTGTACCCCAATTATGCGTGAGCCAATTATTAGGGTGCTCAATAAATACTTGATAAATAAATGAAGACAAACGTATTTCACATTCATAAGGATGTACAAGGAATAAAATGAGACTTATAAAATATTTGATTTTTCTAAGAAAAAAATCCAAGTAAAATAACAAGTAATATTACCAGTATAAAACCCTGTAGTTGAAACAATTTGGAACATGTTTTCCAGTTACAAGAGTTAGAATTCAGATTGCTAAGTTATTCTCTATTTCCTTGTAAAGAGTGAAAAACTTCTTTCAACAGTGTTTTGTAGTTCTCCTCACAGAGATCTTCACCTCCTTGGTTAGAAGTATTCCTAGGTATTTTGTGTGTGTGGTTATTGTAAATGGGATTGAGTTCTTGATTTAATTCTCAGCTTGAACCTTACTGGAATATAGAAATGCTACTGATTTTTGTTTTTGTTTGCTGAGACTATGCTTAAGTTGTTTGTCAGGTCTAGGAGATCATAGATGACATAATTAAATGGAAAAGTACTCTATGCTCATGGGTTGGAAGAATCTGCATTATTAAAATGTCCATACTACACAAAGCAATCTACAGATTTGTCAAATTCCTATCAAATTACTAATGTCATTTTTTTGGAGTTTTTTAAAAAACTTATTTAATTCACATGGAACCAAAAAAGAGCCACATAGCCAAGGCAATCCTAAGCAAGAAGAACAAAGCTGGAGGCATTACATTACCAGACTTCAAACTATACAAGGCTACAGTAACCAAAAAAGCATGGTAGTGGTACGAAACCTGACACAGAGACCAATGTAACAGAATAGACACTCCTTGAAATAAAGCTGCACACCTACAACCAAGGGATCTTTGACAAAGTTGACAAAAATAAACAATAAGGAAAGGACATCTTATTCAAAAAATGGTGCTGGGAAAACTGGCTAACTATATCCAGAAGAATGAAACTGGACCCATACCTCTCACCAAGGATAAAAATTAACTCAAGATTGATGAAAATCTTAAATTCAAGACCTTAAACTATACACATTTTAGAAGATTCTAACCACAAAGTATATATTCTGATATTAGTTGTGCAAGGTATCTACATATGGCAAGATATATAAGCTTTAACTATGAAAACACAGGTTTCATAAAATTCTTATTCTTTGTTTTGTCATATATACAATCCTTCTAAAAATGACATTTAAATACAAATGCTCCACTAAAGTAAAAACAAAAATTTCTGCTCTACTAGCTGTAAGTCACTTTTCATTCATTTACAATAGCCATTTTTAATACAGGATCATGTGATTATTCACTCTTTCAATATGCCAAATATTTCTAAAGTATCTACTATATTCCAAAAACTTGTTTCAGACTTTAATAAACCATCTTAAGAAACCATCCAAGACTGTTCCATCATATATGCTGTCAACAGTATTAGTATTCTAAAGAAGCCAAGGATTTGAAGACTGCAGAATAAGCCTAAGGATGATTTAAATTCATTTGACTAAAAAAGGGATAATAATCCAGATGTATTTACTTACTGAGAACAGATTAGCTGCTGCTTCTTTTACTTAGATACTTTGGGAATGTACTAACCTATATAGTTCTAAAAAATGTTGGGCAGGTACTTAACCAAAAGCTACAACAGAAACAGATTTTATATAACTAGACAGAACATGCCACTATTGTTCTCAGAGCAATACAAATCCAATGTAATTTGCTGAAGGGTTTTTATCTTCTGAAAGCAAATGAGTTTTAAAATAGAGGATTATTTTCTAAGAACACTAAATACACTCACTTGAAGAAGAAAAATCTAGGAGCTTAAGTGTGGGTAATGAGTGGCACCAATAGTGTCAATTATTCAACGAAATAAATGTTACGTTTTGAGAATTATAAATATTACTAATCAGAAACAAAATTCAAATTTGAATAATTCTGAGTTTTCAAAATGTTAAATTTAGTGTTACTTCTGTCTTTTTGTTTTTAATGTTTTTTTCTTCACATTCCAATCATGTTTAAGGCAACCAAAAGCAATTTTAAAAAAAATTAAAAAAAAAAAAAGGTTACTTCCAAAGAGACTTAAATGTTGACAACTTCAGGCAGAAAGACAACAGCTGCTCCATAACTATTACCCATGACTGTTTGGGATAAATCAGAAAGTATGTACACCATAGCCACAGCTATTTGTCTAGTGGAATTTAGATAGTCTGCAAGGATTCAAGATTTTGTCAAAGACACTGAGATTCAGAAAGAAATGAGTTTGAGCATGTGTAAATGTCACGGACACATCAGTGTGGCTATAAAACCCGGTAAAAATTTAAAACACGAAATTGTATTTAGGAAAAAGATCACTCTCCTTCTCCAAACTAAAAGCATAACTTCAGTGAACGCAGTTAAGAGTTAGTCCTAACAAAAAGTTACATCCTTCCTTATCCACCTCAACTTTTGTAAAATTTCTGATTTGATGCGTGCAACTCAAGACAGAAAATAAAGTTTGAAAATAACCCTGAAGGTCTTGACACTACCTCACAAATGCAGATTTTTGGATCTTTTCTCCAAAATACAAATACTCTTCTCAGGCAACTGTCACCTCCTTACTCACCCCGAAGTCAACTTCCTCATTTTCCTTTTCAGGTGTCATCTTACCGTGCTGGCCTTTCATTCTTAGAACGGTGAGGTTCATCACTCTCTTTTGACTTTGAGTGTGCTGCTTTAGCTGTTTTTGGCTATAGACAAAAATACAAACAAACAAAAATAATGCACACACACAATCCAGAATCATCAAAGAGAAAGATGAGGTTTAGAAAGTATGTTTATCATGCCAAGCTCTCCCTTAGTAATTTCAGATTAATTATATTTAGTTGAACAATATAAAATATTTTTTATATATGGCCACTGAGAGGTATAAAACTTATAGTCACAAAGGTATACTTTGGACCTACATGGAAGATGTGTTTAGCCCACTCATCTGACAGCCTTTGAGCAGCCAGAGAAATGGGTTAAACACACATAAACATACTTCCCTAGTGCTTGGCCACTGATTATCAACATAATACCTACATAGCAGCTGACAAGAACTAGGGGACGCCCAGAGTCTATGGAATCCAGGTTTGTACACTCAAACTTATTTCTGCACACCTGTCCTAGGCTGATTTCCAGCCAGTCAACTGAGGCAAATTCAAGTCCACTTTTCCAAGAGTGGAAATGTACCAGCACCAGTTATAAAATAAAAATTACAGAAGTTATGGTACTTGCTAGAGATGTGGCCACTGCCCTCTGACCTCCTTGATGTGTAATCCTTCTCTTTCCTAGTTAAGGTAGCAAAGAATCTGAGTAACTCCTGGGCAATTACTTGTGGCTTAATTTATTTAACAGAAGTATTTGGGAATCGTCAACTAAAACAATATTTTAGAAAAAAATCCTGAATTACTGAACTAGGCAAAAGAGAGAGCTAAATACATACAATTCATATGAGAATAATACATTCATTGTTTTTAGACTAATATGTGGGTAACTGAGCCACAGGAAAGAGTACAGCAATACTATTGGCAGAGTTTCTACACATTCTTTTTTCTCACAACCATTACTGAGACTATGAAGTGGGATCAGAAACCCAATGGAGGACTTTGTTCAAGAGAGACCAGTGCTAAACACCAACTGCATCAGGTATACACAACCTAGGTTTCGTTCTTCTGGGTCTACCGTAAACTCCCGCCTTAAAAATCCTGTACTGTACGAATTCTGTCCCTATTTGTCTGCTCTATTCCCACCTAGCCTGACCTTCTATTTGTTAGCTGTCTACACTTATTTTCCTCTCTAAATTATACACTACTATCAGGAAAAATTGTCTTTCCATGTAGGTCCAAAGTGTTGCCTTGTGCGCTGTCACTGATGCGTAAAGTCTGCTAAACTTCCAACTACGGCATACAGTATAAAATTACAGCAGAATGAATTGCAGTAACCACTTATTTTGTCTACTACGTATTTCTGATCAATGAGGAGAAAGGTAACAGTCCAAACGTAGGCTAGATAGGTCTTTCACTGTGATATAACTAATAATTGTTGGTGATAAGCATGTATCTTTCAGTTTGCCACAAACCACATTACGTCAAAGGAAAGAGAAACAAGTGCATGACAGAGATGGAAGATAATGTAAACAGAAAGGGAAGATACGGTCATTGCGGAAAATATGAAAGCATGTGAAAATGCTACATTCTTCTATAATCAAAGTACTGTATATGAAAACTAAGACTGTTCATGACCAGAAGCTCTTGCATTTCAGTCATAAAGGGAATAGAATATCTTAGCAGTAACTTTTTATGTAGTTATTTTCAAACTTCAATAATTTTTCATGGTGATGCAAGATCAGATTCACGTATGCAATACAGATAATTTACATATCCATATATCCTAAATATATTTTCAGAGCTCAACTTAAAAGCAGAGTCCCCTTTTCATTTCTTATTTCTAATTAGAAAACAAACAAAACACTCCACCTTCCACTCAGGGTCTTGCTTTCTTTTGTCCAAAGATGATTTCTCCCGCTCCTTGGCTTTTTTATAAGCTTTCTTTTCTTCAGCCATTAGAAGTCGAGCAATTTCCTAAAAAAAAATACAGTCAACATCACTAACTGCAGAGCTGCAGACAGAAATATACAGGAATATTTCCAAACAATATCAGCTAAATTCATTAACTTACTTCATCTTGAGCTACTTGAGCGGCTCTCATGTCCACCTGGGTAGCCTATGATTATTGAAAATACAAAAACCAAGAATTTAATTGGAATCTATGCTGTCTGTTTTTAATATCTTGTATAACATAAGCTGGTTTATGAAAGTAATTGTGATTCATGTTCCTGAGGTTGATAATCAGTTGGTATGCTTTCACTAGCCAGAGCAGGAGCTCTTTATATCAAATGCCCCAACAGGCTCATGGAGAACAATCATGGAGAGACGGGCCTATGGAATTCATTGTTAATCCTTACTCACTAAGCAAAACTGGATAACTCTATTCCGACTATCTTGATTTTTCCACTCATAAAAAAAGGTTTCTTAATTGATAGAGGATTATTAATATAATCTCAAGATTGACTTAATTCAGAAAAAAAAAATCCATCAATATAGCTAAACTTTTGCCTTAAAATGTGCTCACCAGAAGTTCTTCTTGTAGTTTCCTGGCAATTTCAGCATCATACCATTCCTGATCCCTGTGAGTCACTCGTGATGGAGGAGATATAGCTTCTTTTGTTGCTCTTGGCTTCATTCCTTTAAAAAAAAAAAAAAAAAAAAAAAAAAAAAAAAAAAAAAACTTCAGTGTAATAAAACAACTGAGGATGTTTTCAGAGAAGTTACAAAATTTAAGATAAAGAAGATTTTCTTTAGAAGCTAACAATGACAATATTACCTCTACTCCAGAATTCAGTGTGGGGTGCACTTAAACTATTTTTGCCCTAGGAATGGAAGTGGCAATGTAGATAATGCATACATTTAAACAAAGATATCTAACCAAACCTGACTGGTAAAAACTCCCCTCTCACATAGTTTCTGCAACAGCAGAAAATTATGCAAGAAGTGGCAAGTGAGGACCTGGAAAATACGAAGTGAAAAAAAAAAAAGTCACTGAAAATAAAAATAATTTAAAGAAAAGCAAAGTACAGAGTCAGAGTTTAAAAGAAGCTAAGCTGTCAAGGATGGAGGAGAGAAAAGGCTTCCTCCCATTTACCTCAGCCTGCATTCTTATTACTTCAGAGGGAAGAGAAACAGCATCACCTGGTAGTCATGTGATGATACCTGTTAGCCAAGCAGTGGCACTTCCATGGCTTTTGCTCTGAGAGTAAATAAACCCACTTACTTTGGATATTCCCCACAGCTTTGATCAGATTGATGGCACTGTTAAATTTTAGGGACGATATAACGTAAGAGCTATATCGAGAGCACAATGACCACAGAGTTCTCTTCCAATTTATTCCTATACAGCAATTCTCGCTTTAAACTTTTACTCAACAGTGTGAGTGTATTATATTCAGAATTAATAGAAATTCTGAATACAGTGAACAAGATTACTCATCTGAAATAGTTCATTTCAGTAAATTAACTATTCAGAGGAGAAGGAAAATGTACTCCTGATTGTGTCTGTCTGTCTACACCAGTGGTTGTCAACCAGGGCTATATAGTAGAATCACATGAGGGTGCTTTGAATACATATAAAAAGATCTGTCCCAACCTCCAGGGATTCTAAGTTAAGTAGCCTGGGTGTAACCTGTCCTTGGGTAAGTTTGTTTTAAACCTTCCCAGTTGATTCTTACTTGCAATTAATACTGGAATCACTAGTTTAATATGTTATGTCCATTAAAATTACTGTAAATTAAGATAATTTGTATAAAAATGTTTCACATTTGACTCACTTGCTATTAATTTTTTTAAAAAGGAAAGAAAATAAAATACAAGTAAATACTGGGCAAATGATGAGAATTTAAGTATTTTGTGAAGCCTATTTCTGCACAACTTTCAACCTGGCTTCTGTGGCTTCTGAAGCCACAGACTCAACATCCGTCTTTCCTACAAAGACAGACTAGTAAACCTGGCTTTCTTAGCTTCAGACCTAATAGAACCTGATTGCACAGACCACTTCAAATCATCTCTACAGCTACCGAGTCTTATGCTGGGCTGGGCTTAATCTAGATTTCTGAGTGGTTTGCGACAGCAAATAAAAACAACAGCATACTCTCAAGAGTGGACCATCTGTAAACAGAATATAAATCTCCCCAAGTTATTTAGCTTAGTCATAACTAGGAAAATTTCAGAAAAAAATGAAATTAGATAAGGAACTCAGTAATGTCAGTGGATAAGAGAGTCTGATGTATGTATACATATATATATATATATATACACACACACACACACACACCATATTCCAATTTACAGAAAAAAACGATAGTTGAATAAGCAGCCCAAAGCCTAATTAAGGATTATGGAACATGCCTAGCTCCTTCACTTTTGCCATCAGTGAAATAATAGTGGGATGTGCTCAAATTTCAAGAGACCAAATTTTCTCCACTATTATGCCTCCTAAGGTAAATCACAGAATTAGCCAAGAAGATATTTCACTTTAAATTTTATTAAAGATACATTGTTTTAAATTCTGCCAAAGACATTATTCCACTGAACAGTCTAATTGGATTGACAGGGTGATAAGACTGTAACCTCTGGCAGTTAAAAAGAGAATGATGACTTAGTAAAAGTCAGAATCTGAAGGAATATCTCTCAGTTCCAAATATTTAGACGGGAAACAGTTTACTTAAACTCCTGATGTATCGCTGGAATGTGTACATCTCATTAAGTAGAAAACTCCCACAGCTTGGAATACTAAATTTCTGCATTGTCAGAATGCCCATTCTCTGCAGTGTCCTCTAGACCTAAGGTGACAAGAATTTTTTTCAAGGATATAGAAAAAAAAATGCTCACAGATAGCAGTGTAAGGCCATTATTTAAGAAAACAAAGATGTCTAAAAAATTTTTTTAATGTAATTAACTGAAGGAAATTGAGGAACTAGTTTCCCGAACCTCAGTATGCTAAACCGACTCCAGAAACTAGCTTTCAAAAAATCGAGTGAGTGGTATTTTCAAGTTCCTTATATATCTTTATCTAACACTTCCTTGTCTTTTTCTGTTCATCATCCTTCGGTTTGAGAACACAAGGACATCCCTAAATGAACACAAAACTTCAACCTTAAATAAATTTACAGAATAAAATTGTTTAAGTACTGATATCAAGATAACTTTATTCTGAGCTTGGAATAAGGTAAAATAATAGCTTCTTTTTTCTATCATGTAAGAATATTTGTAATAAACCAGTCTGACATTTAGGGAATGTCAGTATATTTGACTAACAATTCACAGTAGAACAGTGCAAATATTTTATGGCCCTGTGAGCTTAGAAGTTAACCTGCAGAAAATGATAAGCTGTTAAGAATTTATAATCTAATAGAGAAGTAACTATGAAAGGTTAGGTAGGTACCCACTGCCCGGTAGAAAGTTAACCTATCTTATACTTAATTTAAAATTTTACTTCGCGCTCCTTTTCAGCTGATTCTATTAATGCTACTCTCTGCAAACGCTCTTCCAACCAGCTCCCTGTCATCCTGATAGTTTCTTCATTATTAAGTTAAATATTACTTTGGTCTGTCCTAACAATTTTAAGAACTGTGCTTTTACAACCGCAAGAATAGATGCCACTACCAGTAATTATATTGTAATGTAATCCTCTGACCTAGTCCAGTGAGTTACAAAATCAAATGCCTACAAAGGCTAGAAAGGTAAAGTGTAAAAAGCAAGCTGAATATAAAATGATAGATGGGAATCAGCTCCTGTTGTAGTAATTTTAATATCTGCCTGGTAGCACTGTTTTTTAATCCCTTATATTGGCAAAGTAAAAAGCAAAACAAAACCTTTGCAATTCCAGCAGTGGAGCCTGTGAGTCAGTGTTAAGTGTCATGCTTCCCTAAGCCCATTTAAAATACCCTGGGGCATAACTAAAAGCCATTAAAGCCTAACTAGCCTTCAGGGCACTCTTGAAAGTCAGATTCACAGAAGCAGAACCCTAAAGGTCAGTGTACAACCATTCTTCCTCCATATTTCCCCCACACCTTTGGAACTCCAAAATGTCTTTCTAAACCTGAAAATGGTATAACTTCCTCATAAACCTACTCAGGATAGATTATATCACACTTTCCTCTGTTTTTCCACAGCTCTTTGTTAAAGTCTCCCTAATGAAGTGTATCTTATTTGGAATTGTTTACATACCCAACTTTCTGGTTGATATCCAGGTACAAAACCTAAGACAAGAATATTTGTAGCAGCTACTCAGAATGGCTTGTTGAACTAAATTTTAGTTTTCTGCCTAACCAAGTCCTTTAATAAGAAATAACATGACAGGAAAAGCCAACTTCACCCAAATCCACAACCTAGAAACAAGTTCTCTGACCACAAATAGAACTTGACTGGCTCCTTGATACTATGATTTCTAGTGCTACAGCCACATACATGGAAAACATCACCTCAGCAGTTTACAGAAAACAGAGCCATTACTGTGTCAATGATGGACTTCTGAGTTAAGCTTCAGGAGTGCCAGAAATTTGAGGGTTATCTGTAATATCTACCTCATTCCCATATAGGTACCAAGAACTTACCTGTACTGACACTTTAGAACACCAACTGTAGAGTTAGAGCTGGAGAAAGTTAGAGCATAAAAAGTAACTTACTGCAATGACTTTAAAGTTCCTAAGAATCTACCTCCAGGTCTAAAACATGCCCAAACTGCCAGGCCTCACTCCAGAGATGGTAATATATGTGAAACCCAGAAATTTCCATTTCCAGCTAACAGCTGATTTTGATGAAAATGAACCGAGACATTATTATTTGAAAAATTCTTTCTTAAAAGACGGCCTATCCAACTCCTCATTTTATAAATGAGAAAGAGAGGTCTAAAAAATATAGTATTTCCGGCTCTATTGGCCTTTTGGTTAGGCAAATACTATCAAGACAGGCTCATCAGCTCTTCTGGGTTCACTGAAGTAAAACCAGAAATTCAGGAGTTTTGATTTAGTATCACAATCTTTGATATGCAGTTTTGGGAAATGAAGAACTGTACCTGGAATGGTTACCTCTAGTACAACCTGGGCCTGGAAGAACTCTTGAAGTAATCAGTGCATTCTCACAGAAGGGAAAAGTTACAAGTACTTTCCTGCTTCTTACAGACCTGAGATTAAGTGTATACCTTTTATAATATATTGCCCTAGGATTCATTTCAAAGTCATGAGCACAAACTTGAGAGAAAGAAAGGCTGCTTAAGATACGTATTAAATTCATTGGTTTGCAGGTATATACATGGTACCAGGACTTCCATCATTACTGTCCTCTTTTACCTGGGTCGTGGAGGTGGAGCTGCTTCTCACGCTCTGAGAATGGAGGAGTCCTGGGCCTGTGTCTCCTTTTTCTGTGCTCACCTTGCTCATGGTCCCTCCTATATACAACTTCCTTGCAGTGAAGCCCTGCTTTTTGTGAGGGCTTGGGTGAAAGTTGATCTTGGTGTTGAGAATGTTTTTCCCAATTTCGAGTCCGATGGTTACTCTTAGACTCCCAGTCATCATATTCAGTGCTCAGAAACACTTCACCACTGATCGTGGGAAGTGGAGGTCTCCGGAGCCTCTCCTGAGTGGATTGTTTCCTTTCGTGCTGCTGACTGTTAATTTGGGAATTGTCCCTCATTGTGCCCCAGCCAGAGGATGACAGGTATCTCTCTGATGAACAATGCTGTTCTGGCTTTTCCAAGTTCTCCAGTGGATGTTCTGGTTTCTCCTTCTTCTGCTTCACAGTCTTTCCATCTCTTTGGATTCTACAAGGTCTTGAGAATCCAGAACCCAATTCCCTGGCCCTCCTTGACCTTGATTGGTCTGAGTGGAGGCAGAGATATGTGAAAAATAAAAATGCAAATTAATTTAATGAGAGTATGATCTCATTACACAGGGAGAGTCTGGGCCCCAGTTTAAGACACTTTGAAAATGGAGAAAACTGCTTTTTCGACTTAACAAATTTGAGAAGAGGGCTGAGAATTACTGAAACAGTCCATGCATACCTGAGGAATTCTGGATACACAGCCAAAAGGGTAAGAAACTAAAATTAAGTGAATCAAATGTGAAAGAACTTGATCAAGACTAGGTAGAGCTAACAACACTCAAATATTTGCCAATAAAAATTACAGCTATTAGAGGTTAAGTTATATTTATAAACCAATTGGAAACTAGTATAGAGTAAAAAGTAGAGGTGGAGTAATCTTGTAAAACAAAAAAATTAAGCTTTGTAATTTCAGACGGAGGCTTTCAAATATTCTTATTGGAAATGCCAACAGAACTGAATCAGAGTATTGCTAGTTTCTCTGAGTTCAGAGAAATGATCTACAGATTTTTATATTCCTCTATTTGCCAACTTTATGTGGTCAGAGCAAACATACTCAGTCACTTCAGAAAACAGCCCTCCATTACAATTCAATGTAAAAGAGGATCAAGTAGATGAGAATTTGGAGTTCATGACGATGTTATCTTCAGATAACTCTTTTCTCAATCTTAGTGAAAACTTGACAAAGGAAAAAATTTAAAAGGGTTGCCCTGATGGAACAAAAATTTGTATAAAAATAACAACATATGCTAAATAAATGTCCCCAAATTTAACACAAACTTGAAAAACAGCACAGATACAGTGCTTTTTCAGGTCTTTTTTAGGCACAAGTATACCATGAAGACAAAGCAGCAAATTAATATGCACTTTGCAAGAATATACTGATCTTAACGTTTTCTAGAAGTTTTTACTATGTTTTAGAAATAACAAAAAAATTCCACCTGCATGGAAAATTGCTAAAATAGCCAAGATTCTCCACTGGAATCAACCACTTGCTGAATGCATTTGAAACAGCTACCATAAGTTGAAGAGATGTAAAGAAAATAAATAACTTACACGCTTTCTTTTTAACTGTTTCATTTGATACTAATCTGATAAAGGAATAGAGCAAGAAAGAAATATGTGCTAAATGTTCCAATGATTCCATAAGTTTCCATTAAAAACTTCGAATTGTTTCCTCTTGAGCTTTCCAGAAGAAAAGAAAGCTTGCCTCCAAAGATAAATCTAAATTAAAATTTGTTTTCTCAACAGTCTGTATAAGTATTTATCTTCATCATTGTATTTTACATAAAATCAAAAGTCAAACAGAACAATTACTCTATGATAAAAAAAAATCCACTCTTTTAAGCAAACTATTAAATCTATCATGAAAACTGAGAAAGAATCAAGTGACTACTGCTGTAAATTAATATAATAAAGACCAGCTACTTAAATGATGACTGTATCAAGGGAACAGTGATTTACAGTGTTACCAAAAATGTGCTCACTTAAGAGTTGCAGAAGTGAAGTCCACCTTCCAGCTCAAAAGAAACAAAAAGGGTTTGGGTTCTGACATGAATTTGTAATGTTATGATTTTTAATTCCTTCTAAATAGCTAATTAATATTCATAGTTTTACTTTTAGGAAATATGCTACAGGAATTATTACAGAGCTGTTACTATATTTTCACAGAGCTGACTGGAAAAATTTATTCTCTAATAATAAATGTGTCTGCCATGACAGCTTTAAATCTTGGGACAAAAAAGATGAGGTGGGGAATCTGTCTGAATGCTTTAAAATCACATACAGTTGAGGATTGAGACTTGTATGCTTCTTGAGTCCAAGTTATTTGGCAAATATAACTTACTCCCTCACTGCCAATACATATATATGTATTATGTATTGGCATATACATAATATATGCCAATATATAATACATATATATGTATATACACACACACATATTTATACATATATATATCTTCATTTTATGTGTGCCTCCATGTTTGGCTTTCAAAATAAAATAGAAATACAAAATATTACATTATACATATATAACACTGATATATGTATAAACAATAAGCACTTCACCAAAATTGCATTTGATCTTCTCAACATCCAAATGAAGGATTTACTTTTATAATCTCCATTTTAATTATTTAGTACATAACTTCATTAAAATTAATATTGTTCGAAGGAGGGGACAGGACTTGAACCACAGTCTTATGACTCCAAACACCATGACTTTTAAAAAAATTACTAATATGACTGCAATAAGAGGCTTTGAAAGAAAAACATGGATTCACTAATAAATAATATTTATCAGTTAAGGGCTGACATAAATTTGACAAATGTTTTACACAATTTCAAATTTGTAGAAAATCTATAAATAATCATTCTAATAGATAACGTGTTGAAGTTCAAGTTACATAAAAGCTGAAAAATTGACCATTTTTGTAATGATGTCCTGTGATTACAATGCAAGTAAGGCAAAAACCAAGTAGATACACAAAGACATGCAGAGAAGTATAATTAAAGAATATCCCAGATGTGTTGGGAAAGGACCAGTGCAAAGAACAGAGGATTGCTTTGTAAATATGAGCTTAACTGTAATATGGTTTCTGTGGAACTGAACTTGGTATAACACAAGGGCATATTAATGAGGACCCCACCTTCAACAATATACAATCTCCCAACAACACAGCTGAGACCAGAGAAATTCCAGTATTTACACACATGTGCTCAGGAGGTCACTATTTCCTGTTCCTCCATACTACCTTCAAAGTCCCTCTCTCCCCAAAGAAACACGCATATATGCCACTCTCTACAAATTTATCAGAGTAATTAAAATAAACATAAAATACTTTGAAAAACTTTTATGTGTTCCTGAAAAACCACTGAATTCTTCACATAGTCTCCTGCCCTAGAGAAACAAATCAGGATGACAGTACTCTGGTCAAAAAACAGACTTGAGTCTCAATAAGGCTTTAAGAGGGGAAGTCTAAAATTAATTCTGTAATGCATTTAATTACTTGTCATCCTAATATTTTTATAGACTGAATAGTTTAAAATAATAACATTTACAGTGAATATATCTCCAAAGCAGAATTTTTTAAAAAGGGGAAAAAAAAGACCACATTTCTAAGATTTTAAATTGAAGCTGAAGAGCAGCACTTTACTTTCTGATCTTTAGTATAGCAAAATGTGGTGATAATTTTTCTTTTTAAATGATATAATTTACAGTTTCATAAGAAAAACCAGCATAAAGAAAACGGCTATCAAAAAAGTGCTGAGTGCTTTACATATGGAGGAAGAACACATCGAGCAATAAATTGAGAATCAGCGTGCTTACTAAAAAGGTCATGGAGCTGAGCTCTACTGACTAAGGTAAGTTTAGAGCAAAAAATGTTACTGGGCAAAATTATACTCAAACTGTAATAATCCCATCAATATACACTGCTTTCATTCTACTCATTAGAGAAACACATACTTACCTTTTATAATGGAATTACACAAATGCAGCTGACAACTGGTTTGCAAGTCCCTTTAGGATCACTGACCTTAAAATCTTTACTCTCTAAAAGTTGCCTTTAGGTTTTGTTCACTTGTTATCCTAAATCAGGCGTCCCCAAACTACGGCCTGAGGGCTGCATGCCGCCCCCTGAGGCCATTTATCCAGCTCCCTGCCGCACTTCATGAAGGAGCACCTCTTTCATTGGTAGTCAGTGAGAGGAGCACAGTATGTGGCGGCCCTCCAAGGGTCTGAGGGACAGTGAACTGGCCCCCTGTGTAAAAAGCTTGGGGACACCTGTTCTAAGTATTGGTCTTTAAGCTGAATTTCATTAAATACTGACACTTGTAACTATAGGGAAAGTCTTGTCTTCTACAGATCTTTGAGAATTACTGAACAACACTTGCAAATACTCATTTCCCAACACATTTTTAAGATAAAGAATCACCACAGCTGCCACCACTACACCATCACCACAACGCAAAGCAGGCACCAGAGAAGCAAAACTAAGGGAATTACTCCTTCAGAAATTATTCTATATGGTCATCAAATAGCAAAGAAAGAATCAAAAGGAAAAAATAAACATGGAAATCTTAAAATTTAATAATTTTTGTCATCAATAGGCTAAACCATTGGCCTAGGTTTAAAAGACAAGAAAGCATAGAAAAAAACTTTGTTACCCAGTAACTAATGCATGGTATACCTTCTTTATTCATACAACTTTGCTGCTTCAAACAGTATTGCCCAGACTTCTTGAGAAAGGTTAAGTCCAGAGACTCATCCACCATTTTCCACACCCCATTTTTATATGCTTAGAATATACTAAGTCATTCCAAGTCACTAAAATTTAAAAGAATGTATGCCAATTCTTACAAAATCATATTCAAATTTTAAGTCATAAAAGTGGCTCTGGTTGTCCAATTAAAGAACAGATAAGGCTGAGAGTGATGGCTCATGCCTGTAATCCCAGCACTTTTGGAAGGTGATGCAGGTGGATCATTTGAGGTCAGGAGTTCAAGACCAGCCTGGCCAACATGGTGAAACCTCATCTCTACTAAAAATAAAAAATTAGCCAGGCATGGTGGCACATGCCAATTCTAGCTACTTGGAAGGCTGAAGCAGGAGAACTGCTTGAGACCAGGAGGCAGAGGTTGCACTTAGCCAAGATCACACCATTGCACTCCAGCCTGGGCAACAGAGCAAGACTCCATATTCTGTCTCAAACACACACACACACACACACACACACATACACACACACACGAATTTATTAGATTCGAAAAGAATCTTGTCATGTATCTAAATGTACCCAGTGTCTGGGGATAAGAGAAACATTCCCAGGTCCCTAAGGTCACTTTATGGACAAAATTAAAGGAGTGTTTTATGGTTGAGTCTAAGGATAGAACAGACCATGATGCAGGAATTGTTACCTCCATCTTCATAACAGTAACTATCTGCATAAGCATGGGTTGCAGGAAACTCTGGAAAGTGTTTCTTTCGCTTTTTCTCTTCCTGTAACTCCTTTTCTTGCAAAAGACGAGCTATGTCCTGCAAAGACAAGAGAGAATGGAAATATGCATTACCAAAGAACGAACAAACTCCATATGGTAGGGGCTTGACATTTCACTGTCAAGTCTGTATGTGCTCTGTCCATGGCTCTCTAGACTTTCTGACATTAATTTCATGCTCTTCAAATGCCAGATGATTGCTCAACAGGAGTGGCACATGATCTAGATAAGTGAGAGAGGCTTTTTTTTTAATTGAAATTTAAATCTAACACAATACGAACACATACAAACTTCAGTACTTCCTAAAGCAGGTTACACAACAGAATTTTTTAAAATACACATTTGTGGGCCCTTTCTCAAGCTGATGATTCACTAAGTCTATATGGAGCAGGATACAGTAATCTACAAAACTTTATAAATTATAATTTAATTTTAAAACTTTTGACAAGAATTTTATGGGAAATTTAATTTAGCTTTGCATTAGAATACCACTGTCTTAACTGAAAAAGAGAAAACTCTTCCTTCTGTCTCCCACCTGTTCACCCCCAGGCAAAATTTTAGCATTTATTAAATGAGAGGCACTGTGAGGGACAGAATGATGAATAACATTCCATAATGTTCCCAAAAAAGATGATCATCCCTTTATGAAAACAAAAGTTTCATAGAAACTTTTCAAAAGAAAACATAACTACAATAAAATTCTAAATGCCTCAAAAAGGTTAAAATGTCCATGGGACTACAAAAGAAGGAATATTATTTTTGCTTAAAGGAATTAGTGCAAGATTTTGCATTGTGTTAGGCTTTGAACAAAGAACTGAATTCCAATAGGCAATGTCGAAAAAGAAAACATCAGCAAAGTTATGAACATTTTAATGGGCACCTATCTAAGGAACAGCCAATAGTTCAATTAGAACATAAGACATGGAGTGTTGTAGAAAAAGCTGAGGCTAGAAAAACAATCTAAGGCTGGATCACACAACTCCTTTTAGACAATCTTAAGAAGTCTGCAGTCTGCAAGGTAGGGGAAGAAGCGTTACTAAAGGTTTTGAGCTGCCATGGTAACAATGTTCTAAATCTGAAGATTATTTCTATGAAAGCCCCATAAAATAGCCTATAAACTTAAATGCTCATGTATACTTTTAAGGAGAGAAGTCTATCGTTACCATCAGATTCTTAAAGGCTCATATAAATATGGGAACAATACTTACTGATACAAATGTTAGTAACAATTATTGGTAGTTTGAGGTACCTACTTCTTTATATTTACCATTAATAAGGAATACAAGAAGTACTACATGTTAATGTTGTAACTTTAAAGCAGTAAGTACTATTCTTCTTCAAATTTTATAAGTCCAAATGAAGAATACACTAAGACAGCAATATACAGTTTAAAAAAAAAATTTAAGTTAATCAATTTTTTTGTGTGTCTGTGCAGAAACAAGTTGTATACTGAATCTAGGTAAATTAGCAGCATTTAGCCATATCCTCAGCTGTTTTTTACTATTCATCAAAATAGCCTTACAAATCTGACTTTATGCCAAATATTAACTTAAAATGTACCATTAATACACTTTTACCTGACACATACATACATTTCTTAACAAATAATCTATGTAAATGCCCACACCAATAGTGTCAGACACTAAAGCGGCACTCACAAAATGTTGCAACTCAGAATGAAAGGTAAAAGATACCATAATCCTACTTAACACAAGTATACTTTTCATGAATAGAACTTTGAATTTCTAAGACTTTGATGGAAAAACTATCCTCGAATCTGAAAGTTAAAATGAATCTCTTTTCCAGTTCAAGTCAGCTGTGGTTTAAAGAGACACTGGGAAAGAAACAGCCACTACTAATATGAATTTGAGGGGAATTTCAATTCTCTATCTGTACAATGGAAAGTTTGAACTATTCAATCTTTAAAAAAGTCAAATGCCTTTGACTCCTTAATGTATCATTTTAAAAAACCTGTGTCTACCAGGTGCCAGTCCCTGTGCTACATTCTTTAGCTTTGATGTTTTACAAAGTAATGTATCAATCAGGAAGAGAGAAAGGAACGGGGCAGACTGCCTATTCTCCAAAAAACTATTATTTGTTACAGAAGAATTTCCCAAATTTCTGTAAAGTTTACTACAGAAGTAGAAAGAAATGTAAACATTTTCTTGAGCTGTATGTTTACTAAGCACCTAAAACTGTATTTTCCTAAGTGGTTTGCTTCACAGTAAAGAAAAATTTCCCCTGCTATAACTGAGGAAAAAAAATAAAGGAAATCTGTCAGATCCAACTTCCAGCAGAAATTATTAAACTATGCTCCACGGACCTGGTAAATACAGCTTTATTAAGATGATACAGTAAGGAGTCAAAGACATTTAGCTTTAAGATTGAATAGTTCAAACTTTCCATTGTACAGATAAACAATTGAAGCTTCCCCCAAAGTTCTTATTAGTAGTGACTATTTCTCTCCTAGTTTCTCTTAAGAGATTCATTTTAACTTTCAGATTTAGGGAACAGTTTTTCCATCAAAGTCTTAGAAATTCAGAGTTCTACTCATATAATTGCTTATAACTGCTTTCCTGCTACTGCATTTAATCCTGATGCACAGTAATACACCACTCTCTCTGTGTAAAAAACGAGGAGAGAAAACTGAATTATAACCCTTCTTTATAACGTATTAGTCAAAGAAAGTGCTTTTAATCAAGTAAAAAAATAATAATTACCATAATATATCATGCACCTTAGCACCCAAACCTTTTTGCTCTTCTAAGCTCTCAGCTCTTTTTTGAAAGAAAAAGTCTGCTAGGCTTGAGGAAGGAAAGGACAAACATTCAATGGAAAACTGCCACTATATTACAGCTGAGGTTTCGTGCAAGTCCGTTCTCCCTGCTTTCCAACATTACTATGCAGTGAGTTTTGTTAGATGATTTTAATATAAAGTAAACTGCCCTGAAACAAGCTAAAGACAGCAATTATTAGTCACAGTACTTGGATGTAGCTAACCAGCTTAGTCACCTTTGATATAAACAATCTCCTTGGTCCTCAGCTTCCTTACTGTTAATGGTAAGTCTAGAACAGCACTTCCCAAGCCCGTTGCCGAGAATACTGGTGTCAATACTTTCTCCCAAAAAAAACACACCTTTCAACAGAAAGCATATGGCGTATCTAACTCTTTAAGATGGACATTAGCAAATTTTTAAACTTTGATTAAAAAAAAAAAAAAAAAAAACCTGTTATCCTCCCATAAACTATAATTTTCCAAATTTATTTTAGAAGCTTTTGTTTACATTTTTAAAAAACTCAGGTAATTAATGTTCTATATAACAAATCTAAATGAACTCTTAAGCCTTTTTAAGGTCATAGTTAGTAATATTTTAATTAATGAGATAGACTTCTAGGCTAATACGCAAAAATAACCCTGTTCCACAGAAGACTTCCTAGTAAATACATTAATTGAAATGGGAGTTTACCATCGTATCTGACCTTTCTCTTCTGTTACCCAAGCTTATACAACTCTGGAAAATTGGAAACTATAACCATAAGAAAGGGAACAGTTAAGGATCTCTAGAATACTAGAGAAAGGCAATTTTAATGAAAACATAGACTTAGTGATTCCCTTCAGTGGGCCAGACATGTGCCCTGTGCCAGATTCTTTAGCTTTGAAGAACAGTGCTATGACCAGTATGGGATTGGTATATATGGTAAATATCCTTAAAGTTCTTATCTTGCTTTGGCTATAAGAGAAGCATGAATACAAGCAAGGTGCAGCGGCACCCCAGAGGATCCCTGCACATCTTTCCCAAGTAGATGACAAATGACTGAAACATGGTGTTTAGTTCTTTGAGGTATTTTGGGGGTTTACAGGTTGAGTAAGCATCCCTAATCCAAAAATCTGAAATCTGAAATGCTCCAAAATCTGAAATTTTCTGAAGCACAGACATGATGCTCAAAGAAAATGGTCACCGGAACATTTTGGATTTTGGAGTTGCGGATGATCATCCTGTACAAGATTCAGATCATATAAGTATGTAAGGGATTTAGGGTTACTTCTCAAAGTTTTCACCTCTATCCTCCAATGGTATTGCATTTTAAAAAGAGGAAATGTTGAATTTAAAATCAAAAGGTGATTAAAAAATGTGATTGTTGCCACTGGCACGGTGTAATCCCAGCACTTTAGGAGGCCAAGGTGGGCAGATCCCGAGGTCGGGAGTTCGAGACCAGCCTGACCGACATACTGAAACCCCGTCTCTACTAAAAATACAAAAAATTAGCCAGGCATGGTGGTGGGTGCCAGTAATCCCAGCTACTTGGGAAGTTGAGGCAGGAGAACTGCTTGAACCCAGGAGGCGGAGGATGCCGTGAGCCGAGATCATGCCATTGCACTCCAGCCTGGGCGACAAGAGCAAAACCCTGTCTCCAAAAAAAAAAAAAAAAAAAAAAAGATTATCAAATGACTGTCAGAAAGAAAAAAAAATCATTCCATTAATTGTTAAACTTCTTTATTAACTAGCAAGCAACATATTAACATTTAACTCGGTAGGAACGTCAAGACAGGTATAAATCCAAAAGTGTTGTTTGATAAAACTTGGAAACCAGGAAAATACCAATTCTATGTAGGTAAAAACATCAGTATAACAGTATAAGAGAGAAATACCTACAGGAAGCCTCCCTCCCATTTCCCTTTTTAGTCATATATTTAAAAACTTATTTTTACAATGCTTAAAACAGGAAAAATTTTAATAGCTAAATGGTATTGCTGTTTGATCTAATCTCTATTACCAAAGAATGTGTAAATATTCTTTCAGAACATGAGATCCTAATCTCCTTAAGAGTGTTAAGTACCATGGTTCATACCAGATTCATTTTTTTTTAATGTGAATTGGTTACTAAGTTTATTCCTCAGCAGTTTATATTATAAAGGGCTTCAAATTGTTAAACTAGTGCCACAAACTTTTCATGACATGTTTGGCCGTGCTAATGATTACTTCAGAAAAAAAAGTTTTTCCCTAAAATAGTTGTACATTCACATATATTTTAAACCTA